ATGTTAGAGGAGAGGGGACACGTGAGCAAGCGCCGCCCCATCTGCGGACGCTTCTGCGGACAGTTAGATAGTAAAGTAATGAAGACACGAAAATGCACAAAGTTAAAATTAATTCGCAAATTTTGCGTATTAGTAATCGCAAATCAAAAGAAGTAGAAAGAAGAAAGTGACGCAAATACGATTGGAATCACATTGTTGATACCCAAAGAAAGTACTATACAATTTAAAATTACCATATTACTGTAATAAAGGAGGAAGAGAGAGAAAGAGATGGGGGAGGGAGGGGGGCCATACAATTGAAATGATAATGATTTTCTTGGTAGTTATACAATTTGTGAAGAAGTCCATATAATTTAGAATATAATCGTAACAGAGGCATAAGGTACAGAGGTATACGTGCATTTAAGTATTGTGTATATGTTTTAAAACAGTAGTGTTCTATTTTACTCCATTCACGTAGGGTATATTTACGATTAGCATTCGTGAGTGTGTACGAGAATTACGTGTATTTGCTGGGGTGGCAGTGACTGTGGCAGCAGGGATAACCTCAGTATAAGCTGATTTTAATGCTAAATGTTATTTTTGTCGTTTCTTCATATGAACGCGTGTAAATTCTATCTTTTTTTTTTTTGCTCCACAGACAGCAGTCCGGAAGGCGTGACCCCCACCCCGCCCCACCCCCACCCCGCCCCCTCCCCGAGCTCCTCCACGACCGCCAGCTCGCCCGCGCCCGCTCAAACGCTCCCCCTGATCACGCCCGCGCCGCCCGCGATACTGCTCTCGCCCACGGCCACCGTTATCACTACGCCTACGTCGCTGGTGAAGAAGACGACGCCCTCCACCGCCGGCAGCACGCCCGGGAGCCCGCCCGCGGAGGACACGTCTTGCCCGCCCTCGCCTGCCGGAGGTGACGGCACGGAGGCTCCTGGAGACGATGACGTCGGCGCCATTGTGAGTCTTGAGAGCCATTTTGTGCAGACGGTGGTGTTGATCGCCCAGGGATAATATAGATGGAAATGAGTTGATAAATGAGCTAAGCGAAAGTAGAAGCGCCTTTGTTCCCCTCAACTCAGAAATGTCAAAATTAGGATACGTGGTAGGAAGAGGATTTTCATTTGAATTTTGTTTAACTAATTTATTTATTCTAAAGACACTAGAAGTTTTGCAAGATTTAGTAACATCATTAAGTTTTGTTTATTACTGAGTTCGCGGGGTACTCGGTAGGTGATGCAAAAATTCAAGTGGTTCGTGCAAACCACTGCAGTTCTAGCCGCCCCCTCCCCTACAAAAGCCTCGCTCTTCCTAACCTGTGCCCCCCCCCCCCCCCAGCAGTCGTGTGAGGGCGAGGCAGGAGCCGCGCGGAGGGACGAGGACAAGAAGAAGCCCCGCCGACGCCGCACGGCCTTCACGCACGCGCAACTGGCCTACCTGGAAAGGAAGTTCCGCGTGCAGAAGTACCTCAGCGTCGCCGACCGCTCCGACGTCGCCGAGGCCCTCAACCTCTCCGAGACGCAGGTCAAGACGTGGTATCAGAACCGCAGGTGGGTAGGCAGGGGAGGAAGGAGGGGGGAGGGGGGCGGGGTCAGTTGTGAGTTCTGCTCAATATGTGTTTGTGATTTGGAGGATTAGTTGTTGGCTGCTCTGTAGTAACGCTCACCACACACACACACACACACACACACACACACACACACACACACACACACACACACACACACACAGTATCATCCTCAAATAAATACACACACACATGCACGTGCATACTACTGAGCACTATCTGCCCATTGTAAGAAATAAAAAGCACAAGCCTTTAGCGCGCTTTGACGTTCAGCATCACCTCTCCAACAGGACCAAGTGGAAGCGGCAGAATCAGATGCGCCTGGAGCAGCTCCGTCAGAGCGCCGGGGTCGGAGTGGAGAAGGAGCTGCTGGGAAGCGCAGGGGGGCGCAGCTCCCCTGTTGACCCCCTGAGCGTGGTGGCTCCGACCTGCTGCCCGCCTTACTTCCTGCCGCCCGTCGACCGGTCCTGCTTCATCACCACAGCAGGACTCTTCACCAGGTTGCCCTACAGCCCCTCGTGCCACTTGTGACCCCAGCCGGACGCCTGACCTCTGTCCCCGGTTTCTTACAGCCCGCCCTGCCCCTTGTGACATCAGCCCTAGAGCGTGACCTCCGCCTCCCGCCATGCTCGGCCTCCTTCTAAAGTCTTGGTCCCTCCCCTTTTATATTCTCTGTGACTCCCGCCCCGTTCATCCAGGTCCTGTCCGGGCTGATTCCCATTCACCTGTGTATGCTGTTATTTATTTCATCATTTGAATATATTTGTAAATGAAGGTGTCATTGTTTTTTTCTACAGTGGAAAATTATAATTTCAATCAGTCAAAGATAGGTGGAAATCCAACTGTCAAGTGAATTTCACCTCTAGGAAATGTACGTGACTCGGATTTCGATGCATGGTTGTTAATGTACAGAATCATAACCAAGGGACTACACATGCACTGACCCTGGTTACAAAGGACCAGCTGTCTTACCTGATGTGGGAAAGTGGCATGCAGCATGTTGACCGAAGAGGCCCGTCTTAGCTATGCAATGTTTAGTGCATGGTTAATGTGGCCCGCCTGTGACGACAAAATTATGGAATCCATAATTTCTTCTAAATGGGTGTGAAGGAACGACGTTTATGTACCATTTACTGCGCAGAATAATCTAGGCGCACTTCTTCAGATAATGTTCGCCTTGGAATGTTATCAAATCAGTTATTGGGCGAACTTTAATGAATCTTGGAATATGTATATACTTTTCTGTAACATCCAAATATTTAAGTCTCGCCAATTTAACATGTGACACCCATCTTAGGCATTAAACCCGTGAATTATCCCCAGGGTTTCATGTAACAAAAGGTGAATCATTGTGGAACACTTTTTCACTTTTCTCTTGGTTAAGAATCTACGAAAATAGTCCATTTGTAGGGTGTGTCCATTATGAATAATACACTTAATAAGATAAACCTCATATTGGGGTTTAGTAAATTGCACATTTACAACAAATAACTTAAAGAACCTTTAAATGAAAAGGAAAAAAGACAAAAGACATGATTATTTGACTCAAGATATATATATATGAAAATGCTAATATCGTTTTGGAAATAGATATAAAAGTCAAAACTTATTTCTTCTCGTTTCTTTAATACAAGTGAAGTGTAAAATAATATGCAAACCCTATATACAATGTAAATATCAGAACAATGTACTAAATGCAAGTTTGATAAATGAGGAATGTATCATATAAATTAGTCATGTACAGAAATTTTGTAGACTGACTTCAGGATTTATATGTAATACTCAAGAAAGAATGAAAAGGACATCTATCCGGTGATTAGTGATATCAGTGCTAGCGATATCTGTTAGTGTTCTTGAGTTTAGGCTTATTCATTAAATTAGTGATATTATTAGTGATGCTAGTCACATGATTCTAGACCTTATTATTGTGGAGTTACGGTGAAAAATAATGGAAGTTGTATATTTGTAGAGAATAATAGATACTACTGTGATTTATGAAGTATTTTATTGCTGTATCCTCAACCAATGTGATTCTGAAACTATTTCCCCACTAGGGTTTTGAGTTATCGGCCCGGCGCTCACGAGGCACGCTTCACAAACTACCGAGTAGGGGAACTACGGTTCATGAACTGCTGTCGGGCTGCGGTGATATGTAAATAACACAGTCATTTCCCCAGCCGACGGCGGAGAAGCGAATAAGCCATTGATATACTTTTCTGCAGACTATCATGTTTATAACGAAGAATATAATTTTCATTTATTTCTATTGAGCACATATTTTGTATGCACTGTTATTCTTAGTGCAGCTTTGTTCAGAGCTGACAACGTCTGTACATGAAATAGCTTTATTACATCAACACTAGTATCTTCGAGCTAGCCGCCATTAGCACTTTGAACAAGCGCCTACAACGGAGCTACCTCTTCCCCATACTGCAGTGTTCGTAGCGGCTACAGACACTACGGCATTCGCACTACGCACTGCTTCTGTGGCGCGCTTGTGAACGCTCGCAAATGAGACATTAAGTATCAGCATTATTGAGTAGGTGCATATCCTTGGCAGATCGAAAAACACCAAAGTCTTAGGTGCATTTTTTTCCTCTTTGGGATTGGTCTCACGTTAGTTGTATCAGTGGAAAAGGAAATAGACTTCATACTTGACACATATCTCTCGTATTTAGATGACTCCCATGTAATATTGGCGGTTTTTCATATATGAAAGAAATTATTTTCACTCTTTTCCATCTCAGTTCTCATGAAGAAACAAGCAGGTCTTTATAAAAAAAAAAGTCATTGTTATGTTATAGAAGTTTACACATTTCTCTATTCATTTATTGATCTCCACCTCTGCTCGGTATCTTCAAGACCTGTAAGTGTCCTAAGCATGTATAAAAAAGTGAGAACGCTAACCCCAGAATTGAAAGGCAAACCCGATGTGTTCTTAGTGTTGGCGCCGGAGAGAGTAATGCAGGAGCCAGTCTCTCCCGGGCCTCTTCCGATGGCTAACTGGCTCGCCAAATGAGGATTCTCTACATAAAAATTCTGCTGCCATGTTGTTTTTCTTGTTTATTTTGATATTTCATTTAGTAGAGTACTTTTAGATAGTTTGCCTACCATCCTTCATTCAGATATTCAAGGAATGCTTAATGAGTGAGTGACATGAGAAATATGATGAAGTACATTTTTATAAGCGATATGGTCCTCATATATTGTCTGTCATGATGACTTTGCTTACCTTGATTTTTACGATCACATATTAGTGATGGTCAGTATAAAAACACCACATAACGTAACATTGTAACACTACATAGGGTATATAAAGTGTAAGTAATGAAGTGTTTACGGTTTTCTTTCTTTCAGAAAATTACCTTGGCTTTACATTTGTTTTTATTTATTTATTACAATGACTTTGGGAAGCTCAATAAGCTCTATTCTATTTTCGAAC